GACTACGTTGACCTTCTGACTGTGGTAAATACTAACTCTTATCATCATCACGATATCCTGATTCTATCTAACATCAATTAATAATTCATAGATTACCAGCCCGCGTAGATTACGTTCTCCAGTCGATGCCCCTCCTGCTCTGCCTGAGAGACGTTACAAATCTACTATGGTAAGATAGTATTTATGTATTAGCTACAGGGTGGACATGCTGTATTCCTGAAAGTCATGACTTAAATCATATAAAATAAGTGGATGGTTGGTTTTCTAAACGTTGTCTCTCTTTTGAGGACGGACGCACTCGCGTCTAAGTTGTTTTTTCGCTTTTTTTCCCGCCAAAACCACAAGCAACTAAAGTTCAAGAGGCCCGAACGGTTTTTGAAAAACCGCGGTCTTACTTATGGTAACCCATACAACATTGAGTGACTCTAAATAAATTTTGTTTTCCTTTTGCAGCAAAAGTAGTGATATTAAATGAAAGGTGCACAACTTTTACAAACCGAARTGGACGCATATCGTAGGGGAAGCATAGAAAAGTAAATATGAGACTTACATGTAAAATATACTCGTTTAGAATGAAGAGTCAWAGCAATTTTGCACATTTAATGTTTTAATTATAAACTCTTGCGGATAAATAAAGAATTATTTACAAATTTTAAGCTTGGTTTGCTTATTTTACTTGATCTTCTTTATCATAAACTTAAGTCTGAAATCCTCGCGTGTGTCAAAATATTGATACCGGTATTTTCAAAAKCAAAGCAAATTAACATACTGGTCTCCAAATACTTTATGGTTAATATGYATATTGTYGATTTTTGAATGTTTTAAGCATTGCGGTTTACGGAAAACGCATGCAGAGTGCACTTMACGAAGGTAACTCACCTTAGTTGGTTATGCGTGGTACAAATACTTTGCGTGCAGACTGTTGTTTAATTTGATTTCCTTAAAATGCTATTGTACGCATCACAAGCTTCAATTAATGTTTAAAGGCGAGGGAGGGCTTAGGTCCCTTAAAATCCACAAAAATGAAAAACAAAACGAAAATTGACCGGAAATTTTAGTAGCTGTATTTTGTCTGGTGTTGGTTTATGCCCGGTTGAACATCGACATATTTTCCTCTATGTTAGCATCAATATAGACAAAATTAAATTAGATAAAATATGAAAATACAGATTTTTAAAATGGGGAATAATGAAAAGACGYAATTTGACAACTTGGAAACCGCAGGGATCCCAAAACCAAGACATGCAGGTGCTTCCGGTCATGACGTAATAGATCAAACAGTTAGGGGCTGGGTCCTAGTTTATGACATCAAGTCGTTTTCCGCAGCAAGCGACAGAAATGAAGTAAAGTCTGAGGAGAGCTTCTTTATTATCCATTTTAAGTGTTTTTTATGGTAGCTAACATAGCCACGATACTCCTCAAGATATCCAGATGAATGGACTCTCGTTTTCTGAAATTTGCTGTCTTTTTTGCTGCCCTCCATGTCCTTCAAAAATCGCTGCAAAATTGGCTTTTCTTCCTCCCGAACCGACCTACTCGTTCCAAGATTTGAACGATGGTGGGAAGCAAGCGCTTCACCTTTCTGAAAAAGCTGAGTGGCAGTACGGACAGAAAGAGCTGGATATCATCGAGGGATTTACTACGAAGAGTAGTCGAGGGAATCAGATAGCTTGCATGTATTTGCGCTGTGCTCCAACTGCTCGTTTTACCATTTTATTCAGTCATGGGAATGCCGTAGATCTAGGCCAAATGTCAAGCTTTTATGTTGGCTTAGGGACRCGCATTAACTGCAACATATTCTCGTATGATTACTCTGGTTATGGAGTAAGTGGGGGAAAGCCTTCAGAAAGTAATCTGTATAGTGATATAGATGCTGCTTGGCAAGCACTGCGAACGAGGTACGGCATTAGCCCGGAGAATATCATTTTATATGGGCAAAGTATTGGAACCGTACCGACCGTTGATTTGGCTTCGAGATTCGAATGTGGTGGAGTTATTTTGCATTCTCCTTTGACATCAGGAATGAGAGTTGCATTTCCAGATACTCGAAGAACGTGGTGTTTCGATGCTTTTCCTAGGTATGTAAAGAATTGTTTTATCTTCCTTCCGCTTTTGGAAGTTTTCGAATGTATGATCAAAGGTTCCATACAGTTTGATCATCGATAAATCTAAAATCGGTCTCCGAATTTACTTGCTTTGAAATCAAACCTATCATATTTAGAATTCGACTCTTTACCAAGTTAGCTTTATTTTCTTATGGATTACTTTACACCCACAATGATAAGAAAATGATTTCTACAACGAGTGCTCTACGAAGTTGAGTATAGAGTGGTACTTTTGTCACAATGATTTAAAAATGTTTGTAAATATCAAATCAAAGGACTCGCCCAGTTTCAGTGTTTTTGCCAATCTGAGCTTCAAAAATCCTATACAAAATATCAGATAAAGAACTAGATACCAGAATTCCTCCCAGAAAGATTTTATGAGGTCAAAACAATATGTTAAAGGCTTTTTAAATGGTGCAAACACCAATATAAACATGTTATGTAGATTTCATTTGGTTTTTGCTTGACTAACTTCGAGTTGTGCATTGATTTTCTTTTTGTAAAATTCTAACCGTATTTATGCATAAGCTTGCAGAATTATAGAGGATTAGTTCTGCTGAAATATTACAATGCCAACCATATTATATTGTCTATTTTACTAGAGGGGAATAAATTAATTTTTTGCAGTTTAAAACCCAAGTGATTTTTTTTTTTACTTTAGTTTTCAGTATTTGGATATCTCCATATAAATAAAGATCTTTTTTTTTTGTTTTTCGCTTTTTTTTCTGCAAAAAAAGGCTGCAAGAGAAAACTGTCAACATATATAGGTCAGCCAAGTGGCAATGAAAAATTATCTCATTTTCACAGAGCTTGCTTCATATTTATCCCTTTTTGCTTTAACTTAAGTTTTCATTACTTTGAGTATACCAAATATACTGATAGTTCTTGTCCTTGGTTAAAACACATTAAAGTTTACTAGTACTTCTGTAGATTTTTGTTGTACATATCATGAGTACTCATTTTTTAAGTAGAATATAATGCTCAAATTTTCATCAATAATTGTTGGATAATTTTGATTTTTACACCAATTTTTATGCTTGTAACATTTAACACATACCATTTGACCCGACCCAATTATATGTATAATTATTTTAARATTTTTTCACTATTTCCAGCCAATAAAAGGCTCTATGAATGATTGTTTTTTCGTATAAATTATTACTAGAATGTTCTACTATATCATCTAGCAACTAATTCAAATCTAACCACTGACAGTTCATCAAGTGAAAAAACAATTCATTCCTTGCATCCTAGATATTTCTAGATGTTTCTGTTAACATGAAAAAGCTGCATTTGATTGTCTCCAAAGGCAATAGAAATTCAAAGTTTTCACTAAATAATAAATATTCCTGTTCCATAATGCTCTAAAATAAATAGGCTTTCTTCAAGGGGCTGTATTGATTGAATAACCAGTGTTTTGCATCAATTTTCATTCATGTCTAACTGTAACTTGCAGCATTTTGAAAAAATAATCCTGGGATATTTCAAAAACCTTTTCAGAATTATTGCAAATTGCTGTACACGGTAGTGTATCAAAGTCTCTAATACTAATTTCACAATTTTTACTTTTCAGCATTGAAAAAGTCTCCAAAATAGTCTCTCCTGTTCTTGTCATACACGGAACTGAAGATGAAGTTATAGATTTCTCACATGGTTTGTCAATTTATGAGCGCTGCCCAAGGACAGTAGATCCACTGTGGGTGGAGGGGGCAGGCCACAATGATGTTGAACTTTATGGACAATACCTTGAACGACTGAAGCAATTCATACAGCAAGAACTGGTACATAATTAATTCAAATTAATAAGTAATTCAATGAATTTATTAGGAAAAATGTTAAAGTAACCATACTCTTTTGAAAACAAGACCAACCTATCCATAGTCATACATATTCATTGACCATCATTTGGAAAGCACATATTTTTAATCTGTGGATATAGAATGGTGGACAGAGTTCTTGCTAACATCATATTTTTCATGGCTTTGAGTAATGGTTTCTGGTAAAAGTTACTTAGATATAAGTTTATTTTCTTTGTTATTTTTCAAATGAGTGGGTACTTTAATTTTAGTATTCAAGGATTTCTTTGAATATTGCTATATATTTTATATACCATTGACAATTAGAAGCAGTCACGTTTTTCCTCGGCATTTCCACATTAAAGATTCATGGCATTAAGGACTTACATACTATGTTAAAGTGATGAAAGTTTAATTTATGTAAAAAATCTGACTGTTCACACCCAATTTTTTTTTACCTGGAGTTAAAACAAGACAAGAAAATGATCTTAAGACATACTTGCAGAAATAATTGTAATTAATAACCATCATTTTTTTCAAGAACTCATTGCCTGTCTGTGCTTTGCATTATCATCTACCAAAGAACATAACAAGAAACTAACACAATCTGATAACATACTCAACATCTTAAAATTCTTTTAATATACTGATAAACATGCCTACATTGTTCTATCATCTGTCTATACTTCCGTATACATCTTTCATAAATCTAAGACTGTCCATCACAATATAATGGATTAAACAGCATGTTAGCCTATTGTAAGAGGTTTTTCATTTCGAGAATGAACATTATTGATAAAGGTGCATTACAAATTACCGAGACAAAAGAGAGTCCAGCTTGAGTGAGATTCTTTTGTATTGTAATTGAATTTCCTTCCCACTTTATCATAAAATGTTTGATTTTCATATGACAATTTTCTTACAAGGTGTTTTTGCTACATTGATAAATTGATAAATTTTCTAACCTTCAACTTAATTTCATCTGTTAGTTTTATTCCCTTTCCCTGAATAAGAACCATACATCTATGAGATTTATTTTCATTCCATCAGGCTAACTCTTCATCACAGTCTCTAACGGTCGAACAAGTATGAGTTTGATCCATGCCCTCCACAAGATTTCTTGTAAGTTTTAATATAAATGCATGATTTCATAACAAACCACACTTCACAACACAGTGCACAAGCTAGAATATAATTTGTAGAAATAGCTCATTATGARGTAGTATGAACCAAACTGCAAAGTTATTAGCAAAAACTAATTTTAGAATTTGATATTTGTGCAACATACAATAATGTTCTTATGTTCCTTCTGAACTCTATGATTCACYAAATTAGTCAGCAAATGTCTTTGCAGTTGTTAAACCTTTCAGTTATACAAATTCAATGTTTTGTCAAAGTTTCCTGGCTGTGGACATAGGAACTTGCAAAATATGGTCCACTTAGCACAAATACATGTATACCTTCCAACAGTCTTGCACTGAACAGTTTTTCTGTGTAGCACMTAACTACAATGACGTCCCCAGAGTCTTGAAAAGTTGTATTTCAAGTTGAGTAGTTTCCATTTCCAAATTATTCTGTACATCAGGTATACTATGTTTAAMATGAAAGTTTGCTATTATCAGCAGCTTATGAAAACTATATTTAAGTACTTAGTATCAATTAGAATAAACAATTTGATAAATTATACATGAATAGGGCATGAATGTTGTATTTGGAAAGTACATGTATAACTCAGATATTATACTTGATWTATTTTTGCCTGTAAACAAGAATAAGTTGAAAAAGTCATAGCTGTATTTTATCCATCACTTAATGCCTTGTGCATTTAGTTCCTAGCTTAATTCTATACTTAGTTTTGTGCATGGAAGGATTGTATGATAAAACCTACACATTATATCAAAAAATTGTGTGATTAAATTTAAAAGGTTGCATCCAAATTGCACAAGTTTAAAATATACACGATGTTGACATCACCTTAGTGTTCTTTGTTATCACTTCCACCACTAATGTACAGTGAACTGAAACTGGGGCTGCTTGAGTAAACCAGGCCAATCAGATAAGAGTGAGCAAACTGATTCTATAAGATTATAGCATTKRCARGCTCATTTGTMATCAATTTGAATTCAGAACCTTCCGTTGTGCTCAAAGCTGTAATYTGATTGGCTAATGATATTGATTTGTTAAAGTGGCACCAGTTTCAATATCCTTGCTGATATAAATGATATGCCCATATCAAATTTAATAAAATGCTTTTCCTTTGCTTTTGAAACAATAGCAAAACTTCAAAAAACACACACAAAGGGAAACCATTTATTATAAAATGATGATTTGCAGTCCATCTTGTTGTCYTCATGTTTGAGTGGTGTAATAAGTGGCTATTATTTGGTTGCTTGCTATCATTCAACTTGATCAGTCTAAGAAGACAAAACATTGACCAAAATAAGACATTACGACAACACACCTTTTTTATCAAGATGTGTTCTTTTCTTCTTTTCTTTATTTTGTTATTCACAAAGCTGGATCATCAATACAACAARATTTATTTATATTATAATTATGGTTTTATTCTGATTTTGTTGCAGACTTTGCACAAATAACACCAAGGACTTGAAATTTTTCCTCCAATTCATCGTCATAAGTCCTTAARGCATCTCTACAGATTGATTAATGCATACGYGTTATGTATAAGGAACAAGCACAAAGTGTTTATGCATTCTTTCAACTTCAAATGCTTGGAAGACAACACAAAGATGTTGAGAAGACAAAATATTACGTACTTGGATTCACTAACTACACCACCCATTGTACGCTTCAAGAACGTGATTGACCTGAATTTAATTAATAATATTCTATATAAAGACAGTTTGTGACAAATCTATTGTACATATTAGTGACAACACTAAATATATTGTACAGTTTAAGCAGCACGTAGATATAGGGTATAAATTATGATTGATTGACAGCTGTCAGTCTATTGACAGGTYTAAGTAGTTTTAGTTAATTTTRGAAATCATGAAAAAATAAAATATTGGGATTATAGTTCTGTTTTTGAAATAATAGAGTTTAGTTAATTTCATTTTGAGTGTGATGCCTGCAATGGCAGCCTTAGACATCTTTACATACTTTGGGTTCCRTGTAGAAACAATATTGAAGACAGGGGACTGGGGAACAGAAAAAAAGACTCATTTTTTCTGGGAGAGCCTACGTAGCACTCAGTTGATGTAATATATTCATAAAGATATAATACAAAACACATAATACAATAGAACGAGGAACAATGGAATACAATACATTTTATGAATACATTACATCAACTGCGTGCTACGTAGGTCACCCCCATTTTTTCCTGCCTTGTTACTAGTCCCCTTCTCATGTTGATTTAGCACAGGAAGCCTGTTACTTTTAGAATGGAAAGACAAACCTGCAATGGAGGCTATGTAACAACAACCTCAATATTGAATAACTTAGGATGGAAATATAGAGTAGATTAAGTTGTCTGCCATGGTCTGGTTGTATAATAAAGGRGAATATTTATTCAGTTGTTGATAAAATTATACAAACATATGACTAGAGTGCAATATGCTTTTAAAAAATAAGTTTATTTATCCAATGGATAGCATAATGTTTTCTTTGGCCAACTGGCTCACTTTTAATCCACTGCAAATATTTTGTACAGAGTTCTACACTGTATAACTTAAGCATTTATCCAGTAGATAGCACCATTCACCATTCATGCAACCAACCCCACAACAGGGACTTGTTGCAGTCATTGTTTTTTACTCAAGTGTTGGTGATATAGAGTTATTGAGTTCATGGTAATGTGCAGAGCGCAAACATGCAGCAGCATGTTGCAACTGTATCACTGCATCGGGGCTGACCTTTGCACACTCTTTCTCCAGCACAGTTGCAAGAGCTTCCAGTAGGTCAAGAAAACAAAATGATAGAGCAGCACGGCGTAGTCTGTTGAGTTCCTGTAAAAAAGAGCACCAAAATGACCAAGTGTTAATCAAAATCTCGCTTCTTTTTGCAATGCATGTAGCCCTTTCCACATTACATATGAAATACACATTAGAATGAAAGTGACTCCATAAGAAAGATGTTCTGTGCAACGGAAATTAAAACATACCTTGAAAAATTGAGCCTGTTTATCTGGGACTCTCTTGGCATAACGGAGTAGTTTCTGTACATCAGACTACAAAAGGACATTACTTTATATTATATAATATTCTATATAAAATATAGTAAAGGGGAGCTGCCCTTAKAAAAGGGTTGATTAAGAACCATGTATTCTGCCACGTTTATATCAAAAGATCTCTATCATGAAAATAAAGGAGAAATATAATAATCTATTTAAAAAAATAATTTTAAAATATACCTGAAGTCCACTMGGTTTGATCCAAGCAACATTTGCTTGAGTATTATAGCTTCGTCGTTGTGAAGGTGGCACAGGGAATGGCGTCTCTTCAGTTTCTTCATCTTGTCCAAGTTTGTAWGGATTGACATTCATCTCACCTGAAGGGCCAAGTCTCTTTAAGTTCCCTAACCATGAAATCTGGACGCCAGGAGGGAAGGTTGCAAGGACAAGGTTTGACTTTTTCTTACTGTCTGCCCATGATTGTAGGTAACCAAACCAGTCTGTGCTATTGACGGCATGTAAATAAAATCATTGAATTGTAATCAAAACACAAGTTGTAAACATCACTACTATTATTAGTTAATAATTACTAATCAACATCAAATTACTAGAGATAGCAATAATATCAATAACAAAAATATTATAATATACTGCTAGGAATACAACACCATGTGTGTAGTGACTGACATTTTGGGCTTCCTGTGTCCTTCCCAGGCTGCATACTTCTGGGGAGGGCAAAGGAACCCTGGAACAACAGGCTGCAAAGGASACTATCAACACAACAAACTTACTCAAGTTGAGCAATAGCAATCATCTTCTCCACTTTCAAACTTCCATGTAACAAAACACAGAATGARGGCATCTTCCCATCATCCTCCTGTTCTTTTGCACCTTCCTCAGTTTTGCCATTGGTTTGGCTATTTACTGGAATCACTAAATGTCTGGAAACACAGGGCGGGCTGCTAGCATCAAGGACGTCCAGGAAACCACAGATTTTGATTTCATTAGGAAATCTACAAGACTTTGAATGTTGTTTTGGTTTGCGATATTGTGCTAGAGTGATATTCCAGGAAATGGAGAAATCTGGTGGTGGTGATAATGTGATATTAGARRGTAAATGACCACAGCTCAAGACACCTTCATAGCTCATGTAGTGTGTCTGTGCAAGTCTTGTAAAACAGTTCTCCACCGTCTGCACGGACAAAGGTGCATCAGGTACYTAAAGACTGCCRCCTCCTCCATTCATATCACAGAGTTGCTGAAACAGCATTAAGTTACTTGCAATTTCTGATTGCGTACTTATGCATACAACATGAAGTTTGCTTGGAAAGGGAAATGGCAATGGGCAAGGGCTATCAGTCATTTTTTCTCCTGTCCCATCAAGAAGGTCAGTGAGTGATCCATAACCAGAACCAATTGAACCATCAGTTACTAATATCACTTGAATAGGGATTGATGATCCCCACTCTTCTACCACGTGTCCGGCCACACCCGTGAAAGCGTTCTCAAAACACGTCTTATCATAGACATCTACRGACATACAACCTTGTTTAAGCAGCTCATAATCCCTTGTAAACGGAACAACTATCTCCCATAGCGAGGAGAATGCAACAAGAGCCGTGAACTCAAGRTTGAATTTGCTGCTCAGGTAATCAAACAAAGCATARAGWCCATGACAGGCAAGATGGCGACGCTGGACAAGCTCTTGGTCGTCAGGAGTTTGAYTTTGCCTCATCATTGATAATGATACGTCAAGCAGCACTACCGTCGGCATGTTGAAAATATATTACAGTTATTGCACACTTATTTCCGAAAACAATAAATATATTCTTGGGTTATTTTGCAGAATCAAAGAGGWGCCCTTTTTTCCYCTTTGTTACTCCATGTTGGCCGCGTAAGTAGAAAGGATTGGGAACTATCTTTGSATAGACCGCTGATTGGTTGCCGTCGCTGTTGGGAGCCACGCCGGTGAAAGAAGGTACAAAWTTCTTTAAAAAATATTGTTTTTTCAAACATTTGTTATTSTTACTTCMTATTGATATGTTGTCTAACACTGGGAAGTTTGAATTGTCTATTTTTCATTGAGAATACTCGAGAAAATCGTCTGTTTCTAAGGTGTTTTTGACACCTCATTTTGGCAAKGAACCATTCATTTGATAGCAACAATAGAAAATAAACAAGAAAAAATTCTTCCTTAATTCTTTTTCTTATAAAGGATAGATTTTCGATAAAGAAATAATATAAAATCATTTTAGAATGGATTGAATCAACGCCTGATATAATATGGATATTTTAGAGCTGATTTTACCAGCCGGTAAAATTTATCAATTTACCCCTCCCCTCCTCAGTCTGTCCTAAAATAGGTTTGGGGGAGGGGGTGAGGTATACCTGGTTTTTTATCAATATTTTTTGTTAAGAAATTTTATCAATTTATAAAAATGCATATTTTTATGAGAAATTTAGACAGTTTGATGAGTGAATTTCTCACAGCTAAAATGCTGTTGTCATTTGATTCATATTCCCGCTAAAGTTGCATGTACTTCAAAAAGTGTTTATTCTCTGTGCTATGACAGTTGTAGTTCTTTGCACACTTTGATGCACCTGTCTTCTATAAGTGTCCATTTTTGGCATTAATTACATCATTTTTTGGAAAGAAAATATAAATCATTTGTTTGACAGCCATAAAAAAGGTGAGGACTTCAGATCTTATTTTTAGTCTAGAAGATCATTACAAATCATTGCACATTGCCTATTATGGCAAATATCTAATGATTCCTTTGAAGAAAGTCAAGAAAGGTGTAAATCCCACTGGGACATCTCACAGTAACATTTCATGACACATCCAAAGTTTGAAAAAATATTTTATTTTCATTTTCTACATTGAAAGTAAGGAATAGTACTTATCACTCTAAATTCCTACAAAATTTCTACAGCTTATTTTAATATTTTTAATATCCTTGAAGACTACATGATTAACTCTTTTGGTTACTAGAATAGTAAATTCTCCTAAGTCTTTTAGATGTTGTCAAAATTGTCGTTTTACTTGTAAATGTATAAATATAATTTTTGTGTGTATTTAGATGTATATGTGTAAAATCCCCAGCATTAAATATAATACATGTAATTCATATWAGGTTATGGATAAATAATTTGATTTATTGAAATAATTTTTTCAAATTATTGCAATTATTCCGGATATCTCGCAGCTTCTAGAATGCCGTCTCTATTATTCCTCATTCCATATAAGGACATAATATAGATAAACTACTTATTTTATGTGAATTCCTTTAGAAATTATTGGATCAATTTGATTKGGGATAAAAGAGAAATTCATTTTAACAATATTTTACAAAAATACWTTCTAAATATCAACTAGATATTTTTTATATTTCTTATTTACAATTCATCCATGYATGTCTTTACAACTTGGTAAACATGTTTCTGCCAATGTAGATTCTTCAGAATTCTTTCTTTTCGTCTCTTTGAAAGAAAACAGTTCTTGCTTSACAGTACCATTCTTTTGCAGTATATAACCCCTGCAGGTTACTTAAAATTCCATAAATTCATTCAATTTTCTAATTTTCCAAACTTTGTGTGGAAGCCCTTCTCTGTACAAGATCTCCTATWAGCTGTAACATGTGAGCTATTTCTAAAGCTGCCTTAGTYCTTGGGTCTAAGTGGAAGTTTACTTGAGCATTTCTTCGTCTTTGATGTCTAAGACGAATTTCGTTGGATGGTCGTCTCTCAGCAGCGTCGTGTCTTCTTGACGTCACAGTCTCATTCCCCGATGCTGGATGCCAACCCATCACAACAACTAAAACAAAACAACATTTCTGTTGATATTCCCAATCAAAATTTATATAAAAAAGGATAGAAATACTTAGGTTTAACACTAGGACTGTTTGATTGAAAAATATTTATTTCTTAGTTTTACAATGGASTAAATCTTTATGTAAACAAATTCATATCCGTGTCTGCGATAGCGTCAAGGCTCAAGTCCGGCTTATTTTATCAAGTGTTTTTACCAAAGTCAAGGATTTCTATCCTTCGTTAGTTGGTTAACAATAACCAGTAAATAAACTTGAATTTAAAACAAAGAATCACTTTTTAATCCGCTCAATTATCGGTTTAGTGTGAAMTGATTGCTGACAATCGAGTTTCCTTCATTTCATATCAAAAATATAATATATATTTAATCTAAGCTTGTAGTTTCCTTCAATTGAATGACGGACCAAATGTGCGGTTTTGCTTGATAAACAAAAATTTTCGTGACTTTGGGATTGACAATGGGAAAGATTAAAAGTATGTTGTCAATTGAATAGCATAGGAAACCAACGGAGAGACTAGAAAATACATTTTATCATTCCTAAATATGATTTGCATGCTAATACCCCCTTACAGAAATTATAGTCTTTGAGRTTCTTGTGGGTAATATGCCGAAAAACCACGCTCAGCTTGTAGACACATGTAACGAAACTTTGTACAGCAGTGTACGAATGTGGGACGCTGCTAGGCTCGGACTTACCTCGCTACAAGACCTTGTTTCTTTTACTTTCTATTAGATCACGTATAGTCTAGATGACTTTCACTTTTTCGACTTCCCCTGTTTGTATGTAAAGTTGACTTTCTTTTCTGTATTAATTTGTCGAGCTAGTAGTACTTGCATAATGATAAGGTGACGTCCCTTGATATGTTTTCCRGTTTGTTTTTAGGTTATGACATCATTTTGTCGGAATCCCCCACACCCCTAGGAAAAGCAGCCAATCAGCGTCATCCATTTCCTATACAATTCATTTCCGGCGTACTTAGGTATAAACACAAAGGCCGTACAAGCACTGCGTAATGTGCTCGACTGATCGGTCGYCCTACAGCAAGAATACTACTACTATAACCATTGAATGATCTACAAAATATTTTAAAAGAATGCTTGAAYTTTATGGTTAAAGAAATCATCTTATCATTGAATTTGGATGTCTTCTTTCATCGTGCCTAGTACAACTACCATTACAACTCGTAACTCCATGGCTGAAACCCTGCCTCTTACTCGATATGTTATACTGAGTCTAACAAGATCTAATGTGGAATGTCCTTCTGAACTGGCTTGCAAGTTTAGGACTCTTGTTTCGAATGTACGAAATGACAAAAAACTTTTACTTGCCGGGAGCTGCCACCAGGTTTCTCTGTCGCACGAGAATGCCCAGTCGACTTTCTTTGCTATTGGAGACGAACTTTTCGAGGACTCCATCAACTGGGGCCGTATTATAACATTTTATGCCTTTGCAGTGGAGGTAGCAGAGTTTTTTATCCAAAAAGGAGCGAACAATCTGGTGAATAGCGTTGTCAGTTGGACTGCTTTATTCGTAGAACAGAAACTTGCTGCATGGATCAAGCAGGAAGGCGGTTGGGTAAGTTGTAGTGTTTTTCTTTAAGTTTTACTATGAATATTAATGTTACTACTACCAATTGGTAGTTACAATGCACTTTGCTGTGTAGTATGTTGGGTTTGCGTGGGCTGAAATTCTCCAAAATTTTCGCATTATACGGACTGAAATTGGTCTGTTTTCTCGTGTTTTCTTAGATTGATTTTATTTTCATCGTTGATTAAGCTTATGAGGTCCTCGTGATATCCTGCGCTTGGTAGTAAATGGTATTTGTATGTTTACGATCAAAATAAAGCCAATTCACATTGAACATTTGCAAATGTCGGTATCTTCCTGTGAGTCGGTGTATTTGCCACCCAGATCGAATGAAATTGAATTTTCACTTTCTAAAAGCCCAATCGCGCTGTTTGTGGCGTATTTTTTCAGAGCATCAATGATATATGTTTGCGTTTATTTACCTTCTTTCGTACGTACTGTGTCAATAAGAAAAGACCCTGAACTATCCGAAGAACTAATGAGATTTAACGAACGTGTTTTGCGGCTGAAAAATCTTGCTGCATCGTTGCTTTATGTCATTCATTCAATCGAATCTTGACATATTTTCACGAATTCAAAGTCTCTTAAAAAATCTGCGCAAACTTTGATCAGAATTCTAAGAATCCTCAACCGCACTTCAGTTGATATAAATTTCTACAAAAAACTCTGAAATCAACGATGAAAATTGTACGTGAAAATAGTGTGAATTGGAGCTATGCGTACGAAGTCAGTGTAAATCCCTAAGTCATCATGTGACATTGGATGTCAAAATGGAATGTATCCAAGCTTAAGACATCGAGTGAATCAGCTGTTTTGGGGGTGAAAAATAAAAAGCTTTGAATGTCATCTTGCTGGTTCAAATATGTGTTGAATGTCGCTGGGATTTGTAGCAAAAACTGTGCACAGTACCGTAATAGGTTTAGTATCGTTGTAATAGAGGAAACTGTTGCCTGATTTACTAAGAATGGTATTCTGACCACCTATTTCCGATATAGATATACGTTTCATTTTTCACGTAACCCCTAGAACAGATTGAAGCGAGGCAATCATGTCAAAGACTTTAATTGAATCTGTAGCTTGCGTGGAATGCATATTACTACGCAGATGACGGAAATCATTCTATGGAGTTTAGCTTCCAGGTATTTCTGCGAAAACATTTCTCGATTTCAATGATATTACTAGTATAGATAACACGATATGAATGCGACAATTATGGAAAAGAGTGAAGTGAAAAAGGCGTTAATTTGTTGCTCTGTTGTAAAAAAGCAGATGAAATTTATTCACTTTGGTCGGTTATTTTTTAATWTTTTTTTTTTTTAATATTAGCCACCGTATGCATGAATTTTTGAAATAACGTTTGATGTTGTATTTTATCGTATTGTCGAAATAATTGGCTAGCAAAATGTTAGTGCAAATCCAAGTACAAAATACTATGTCTTCTAATGGTTTAATTTTATGCAATTTCTTATCGAGCGTTTCTCGTATATAATGAATGGTCACTCTACTTTCCCATCCCTGTTTTCATATTTCTTCTTTCGTTCACTTATAAAGACGGAGGAAAGCTCGAAAACAAATAAAATCAAGAAAAACAATTCAGTCATGTGCACTTKGTTSTTGATTGGGRGACATCCTCATCTGCATTACGAGTGCTTCTCACGATATCAATATTATTCATTCATTGTTGTATCCGAAACCACTGAAATCCTGCTGTTTAAAAGATTATAGGACAATGGTCGGATGTTTTTGTGGGTATGTTTTCCCGCCCGTGAGACGCCTCTTGTAATTTTTACCGTGATTTCTTTAAGTTTGGTATTAATGATGTTTAGCTACTTTATGAAAAAGACGTTTTCTGTCATGTTGTGTAAAGTAGGGTATAATTTTCCCGGCAAACAGTCGGTAAATGAAGCCAAAAAATTATATGCAAATGTTGTTTTACGTCCAATATAATGCAGTATTTTCTACTCAGTTCCAGTATTGTGGATTTTAAAAGCTGGAAGACCATATAATATACATTCTATATAAACAGTATTTAGAACCATAGATTTCTAATTATTTTATTTTACTCTTTGTTTCACGGTTTCTAGAGTGGCTTTTTTTAACCCGACCGTGAAATACACGTGTCATACCTTTTATRTGCACGTTCTTGATTTTATCATTCTTAAACTTTGTTCCATGGGATATTAAAAATCTTTCTAAGCCCTTGAAATATTGCAACAATGCAGCTTTATGTACTATTAAATTCGMTTTTTGTGTATTTTGTTAGACTATTGCACCTTGACCATTAGATTTTGTTTCACGGGTTTAACGTCCTCTATCTATCTTTCCTTTCATCCTATTTCCTCATTTTCTTACTTTCAGATTCATTTTGTCATTTTCTATTCACTTCTTTTCAGTTACTTTTCATTCAGTTATCAATCATCAATAAGACTGTCAACAAGATAAGAAAAAGAAAATAAAAAACAAGCTACTTCGTTTACTTCGCGTCGAGGCAAATGCTTGTTGATCGTGCTAGTGATCCAAAGTGTTGCCGAACAAAGTATTAGTTTATTTATCCCAAACTGGACTCCATCCAACATTCTTAACCACTCCCTATGCCTGCTTGTGTATACAGTTGTAATGGGCACTGTTTTGTAAACTCACGTGCCTCTTGTAGACACACCCAGGGTCACCATTACCACTGGACATTTATACTTCTAAACGTGATGGAATGTTCTCTGTTTGTTAATATTACCCTCAAAATACTTTCTTTCACTTTCATTTCATTAACTGGTGTTTGTTTTAATATATTTTACAGGCAAAACTTGAACACTTGGAGTTTAACATGTCTTCTTCTCCATCTCAAACGCTGCTTTGGAAAGGTCTTCTTGTGACGGCTACGACCCTTGGACTTGGAGCTTTTGCAGCAATTGTCTATACAAAGTAAAATATCGTTTATAACCGGCTTAACTGGGATACCCCGTGCTGCTATGCCAATGGGTATTTACGGATACTTAGCGTATATTTGTAGACATTTTCGCTGTGTTTGCGGAATGACATTTTTCTTACATATATAACGGTTCGTCAATGACATGAATGTATGAACCATATTGGTTTAGCAAGTAACGAGTGGACAGCGTAACTAATATAAGATATTGATTGTAATGTAGTTAATTAATGAAATATATGATTGGTTGTTGTACAGAATTATTAAGGTTATATCAGGATCCACCATATTTATGACGCGGTTTTTGTCCCGGAAATATATAGATTTATCGAGATATATAACGACTGTTTCAAATATAATACTAATATATATTTAGCACTTTGTGGTTATTTTAATAGGAACTATTTCTATATATATATATACTAGTTAAGTAACGTATTTTTAATAATTTTTAAATAACTCTTTTAATTTAGAATCATTGTTCTTTAAACTTCGATCAAGGGCATTCAAGGTTGTATTACACTTGACTTAAACTTCCCTTAGATGACAATCATGTGATTTTTGACAGCTCACTCTGTTAACATCACCAAATCTGCTGATAATAATAAACTTTATACACAGTCCGAAAACGATGTATACTTAATATCGCATTCATCAAATACTTGGAGCTTATTGGCCGGATATAAGCTAGTGATCCCAATATTCCATATATGTGTGCAATAGTGAAGAGTTTGGCTTTAGGTCATTTATAAGCCCAGGCTTGAACAGTACTGTATTAGGAGKWGCATCACAAGTGAGTCATGCGCGCGCTCTGGATAATTAGCTGCCAACACASCGCAATCTGCAACTTCTGCGGCATGGACTAGGTTATCGCAAAATTAGGAAATTAACATTTCAACAATGTTAAAAGTCCCGGTTTTTAGTCCAGGATCTTGGAGGCAAGCTAAACACATCATTTCTTTTGATTTAGACGTTAATTTCACCTCCGCTCGGTGGATTGATGCTGTTAGAACATTGTTTTAACAGAAAAAATCCCCGGGTGTAAAGGCTGTTTCTCCGGCCCTCCCCGGGGGTTGTGGGACAGGATTTTAATAGACTGTACTATTAATAGCGTTTTGATTAATAAATCTCTCAGAAACATGTAATGTCGTCATATATGACGATGACATTAATATTTTATTGCAATATTAGTTTGCCTAAGGATGGAGGTGGGATTTTATCTATTTATATTTCTATTTATATTTCCCATTATCGTGACCTTGGTCGTTTATTTCGATTGAGTTGGTTGGTGATGTGAGTTAATGAGAATGTCGGTTGAAATGCATATTCAGCACTATTGCTTCATTTAAAGCACGTACCYACCATCTTTTCCACCACATTATGATGTCATCACGCATGATATCAGCTTATCTTTCACACTTCTTGACCATCGTCCTCTTTATTTTTAGCTTCAATTCTATCTTCTTTTTTTTTTTTAATTTTATCTTATTAAGGAGTTCCATTTTGAGAGCACTCTTTGAAATGCCGCATCTTGTTGCTCACGATTCTATCAAATGCGCTTCGGCATGCGTGCATTCSCAGCCCAACCCTGGCACTTGCATTAGAAGCATCACGTKTACACYGCAAATATACGCTATCTTGATATGTGTGTACGTYATTGATTACGTAACGTATGAATTTTTGTGAGCAATAAAAGAAATCCGCAGACTTACGTTTTGTTCTTACGTAAGAAGAAGACATTACGTAATCGCCAACATTCCGTTAGGGATCCGCGATCGATATCTGCGTTACTTAAGCATGTAGTTCTTGCGTAAAAAGCTGGTATATAATACATCTTTCAGAGGCCCTTCTAGAAATTTTCGTAAACCGATCAGTTGCTGTGTAATCTGAAAATCGCATTTTTTCTTACGTAACGAACGCAGAGAGTACGTAATTTGTGTATGTGCAGCTGTCAAAGGATGTGTTTGTACTTGTTCGGTGGTTGTGGAATTATTAACTCTTTATTAGTTATTTATCAAACCGATGAACCTGTCAAAGGCTTTAGTTTTTCTATGGACTTATTTTTCTGATGAAATAATTACGAAACAGTCTGTAAATAAAATTGCTTCGAGAGGGAAAATTACAATAATATATTCATAATGTATTATTCATCGCGAATAACCTAAAAATAAACTTTGACGTCGGAAACCTCAATCACCCCAAGTCGATCATAGTAATTTTGGCGGGCTGTACTCAGTTTCATCGATTCAGTGCAGATTTAATAAGTATACTTTTAACATTAAAGAGTAATTTTATAATTTCTATATAGAGACAATAAAAAATGTTTTATTTTGAAATGTTGCTATAGTCTTCATAAATTTATGAATGATGAAAAGAAAAATCAATAAAAATGACGTCACATAGGCATGTGACTGACATGCTGTGATGACGTCAGGTATAATCGCGCCAGGGGAGCTGGGGCTGGTTTTCTTTTTGTCATTTCTCTCCATTTCTCTCTATTACTGAGATATTTGTAGACAATCAAAAGGTATTTATTCAGGAATCTAGCCAATGCAGATAGTTGCTATAGACTAACAGTTGATACACAACCTCGGGAACCCAGGGGTAATTTTCTGTCGTTCGTTTAATTCCTCACTCTCATAGGAGAGTTCCCGAGGATAGTTGATACAAAAAAAACAATAGTAATTTAAAAATAAAATAAAAATACCTAAAAAACACGCGCGCGAAAAACAACAATAACTACAAGAGCAGCAAGCAAACAACAACAGCAACAAAAAGAAAACAGCGGCTTTCGGGAGGCTTTCGGTGTCTGAAAGTGTTGGAGTTCCTGTGSTGASAGTGCACATGAGGACTGAGCTAAGGGTCAAGAGAAGTGAGTTTTTTCGCTTTGTCAAATGTTTTTTTCATAAAATTCATTTTCTAATTCAAAATAATGTTTCTACTTTTCGTCTTTAAAAAGTAAAGAGCAGATTTTGGGGGATTCTGAAGTCGTTTTGCGCAATTTTCTTTCGGTTTAAGCTTATATATTGTGACATATTTGAAAACAACATGGCGAGTGCTTCACAAATAACCTCAACTCCAGATGAAAAGGAAGGTCAAAATGAAGATAGAAGACAAACTAATGGTAATGTAGAAACTGAAKATGTTACAAATGACATGCAAGAAGRGGACTCGTTAGAAACAAATAGAAACGAGAAGAAAAATCTTACAYTGGAAAGTGGCCAGCATGTCGAGGTCTTGAATGGCGAAAACGAAGACGTAAAAGACGAAAAAGAGCCTTCTTTGCATGGAAGACTCAATGGAAATGCACAGGATGTGAACCTGACACATGGAAAAGTCGAAGAAAATGGCGTCGAAGTAGACAAAGATCGCGTCAATGAGTGTGCGACTGACAACAACAAAAAAGAGAATYACAAGATAGTCGAACCAACCAAGCAACTGGCTGAGCCTGCATCTGAAAATGAACTTAAAAATCACGAGTCGCCAGCAGAAGATACTGATAACACAACAACAACAACAACAATAGATAATATTGAAATACAAGAGAACYCTGCACCCCCCAGATCACAACCCATACATCGACATAGCCCTAATAGTGGAAGCCCAGAAAGAAAAAATCATACAGGGGGGTGCCACAAATTCCTAGATGAAGAATCAAGAGCGGAATACATGAAAATCAAGTCTGAAGTCACTGGTGAGGCAGAAACATCAGAAAGTGAAGATGAAGACGAATTGTTAACAAGTGAGCATACCCACCCTGGAAGCCACAGTTCTCCCGACTCAAAAACAAAAGCTGAATATAGAAAGATAAAATATGAAGTAACRGGTGAAGCACTCACGTCAGAAAGTGAAGATGAGAATCCTGTTGAAGAAGAGAAAGAAGAGAKAGAAAAGGAATCARCTGACGAATGGATGGATATTTTTGGCAATGGGTTGCTGAAACGAAAGGTAATCTAGCATTAGTTTAAATTAGCTCACTTTAATTGTATATCAATTGAAAACTCTGACAGTGACATGAGCAAGAATAACATCAAGTAAATTTCCATTTTGAATCAGATACTACGTGAGGGTAAAGGTCGCGACACAAGACCAGACAGAGGGCAGATAGTWATGATACGTACTGCAGGACGATTAAGTGATGGGACACCCGTGGATTGGAATCAGTGTTTGGAYTTTATTCTTGGTGAAGGAGAGGTTATCCAAGGTATTTTAAATAATAGCTAAATTAAATAAGAACTTAAATTGTGGTTATTAAATTTTGCCTTGAATCCAAGTTGTAAACTGCTGTCATAGCCGTTCAAGGACTGCAAAGTGTAGCTTGTAGTTTTTGGGTGATATGATTTGAAGTTGGTTGGAGTAGGGAGGGTGGGCTAAGTTTGTAGAACATTATATAACCCCTGTTTACCGTTGCTGGTCCTTCATATCTGTGATCCCTGTAAAGCAGGATTTCTAGTATATCCTTGTAGTGCAGGATTTAWTTATTGAAATGAGATTATTATTGCTATCATTTTAGCCTGGGATGTTGGTGTTGCCCTTATTGAACTAAGTGAGGTCTGTGAGTTAGTYACAGATGCTCGATATGCTTATGGAGAACAAGGAAGGTCAGTCTTATCAAATATTATTATCACTGATAATATGCTATTTCTCGTAACTCTCACCAAACTGTACAAACATATTGTATGTTACATTGATGTTAGGAGCGGCGACAATCCTGTCCCACCCAATGCCAAGATCACCTATGAGATTGAACTGCTAGCAGTAAGAGATGGCCCTGACATGGACACAATGAGTGATGAAGACAGAATCAAGATTGGGTAACTATCAAACACTTACATCTCCTGAATTTAGAGTGCAAGACACATGTCCATTTGTAATGAKTATCAACTTAGTTAATTGTATCAATGACTTGTTTATTACTTCTTGACATTTATTTTTTTCTCCTGTTCTAGAGATAAAAAGAAGGASCTTGGCAATGATTTGTTTTCAAGAGGAGACTATGCAGCGGCAATCAACTGTTATCAAAGGTAACTATATTGGAGAGAGGTGCATATGGCACATCAAATTGTACAGGGGAGGGAGGGTARATGGTACTCTCAACAACAAAACATACATATACCCTACCCAATCACATGAGTTTATACCACTRTCAATCAACAACTGGTACATGCCATAACCATTCACAAGGAGACAAAGGGGTGCACGCCACACATTCAAAAGGGTACATGACACACCTATTCACAAGGAGAACATGCCACACCCATTCACAAGGGGTACATGCCACACCCATTCACAAGGGGCGCATGCTACARCCATACCCTAATATRCTGTTGCACCATTCACCAATTTATTATCTGTTGCATCAAATCACAAAAGGGGACTTGACACACTTGATTATGTGATCATACCTTTATTCAGAGACAGTAGACTGTAATAATGACTCAAGT